AAAACAAGTGAAGACATCCATCTAAAGCCATAATAGCATCATCTACCAAAGAAAACCTCAATGGCCATACTTACATATTTGCTGGTAGCATACTATAGCCATAAAGCGAAACAATAATCATCATCAGAAGCTTAGCAGCTGACGTTATAAATGTCCTCCCAGAAAGGAAAAACCAATAATAAAGCAGAACCAGCAAGAGGAAACAGTTAAACGTTTTCTTCTCATCTCTCCACAGCAGAATATCTGCAACTGCAGTATAACATCAAACAGGAGTGAGCGAGAGAGTAAAATGTCAACAGTAGCATTCATCCATTTCAAATTACTCAACTGATAGATTCTACTAGTATTTTCCTTGATAAAGATGTGCCTTTCGATGCTCGTATGTTGAGATTATGAGGTTCAATTTTGTACAACCAACTGTCAAGGATAGTGGCCGCAAAATGTCTTGTGTATAATGTTCAAATGGGAATTTGGATGACTTGGCTAACTGCCTAAATCTCTCCCTGACAACAATTGTGGTAAATTGAATTGCATTACATCACAATTTTAAATGATGTGATAGTACGATATTGATTCAGGTCATCATAGCTGCTTATACACAGAAAGATATAGACCCTCAATATCAAACCTATCGAGTCCAGATGGTCTCATTTTGCCAACATTTTCATGCTTGACCTTATAATTAATTCTGCAATTTAAGAAATGTAAGACTGCAAAAATAAAGATAAGATACAGCACCCTGAAAAAATCACTAACCTTTCCCACTGCCTAACAGCTTATCCACTTTCGAGTGCTCATCAGAATCATCGTATCTCCTCAAAGGCGAGTCTTCGGCTAGAGCAGAGAATGAATCGACAGTTAATGCGGCACCTTCCTGTGTCACAATTTCCATATTTAACTGTTAAGTCACAATTATGAAAAAATCAGATGTTCTCCTTAGAGTAACTTTTATCTGTGAAGAGACGCTCCTTCCACTTGGCACGGTTGGATCACAGGGAAAGATTCTCTTGGGACAACTAAAAAATCCCAGATTGAACTTCCACAATAGCAGAGTAGTTCGCAAATATTAAGCAAAGTGCACTTGAATCAAATTTTAGCATCACCCTTCACTTTTCAACCAAAAGATTCATAACGGAATGAACTCAACAATTAAGCTAATTAAGGCTAACTGACACCCTCCACTTCAGAAGACATCTAATTCGGACTTGCCCACTGAAGTCCCCCGAATGCAACAAAAATTGAAATTCAAACCACAATGACAATGGAAGGGAAAAAAGGAAGAATTCAAGCGAACTTTGCTTATTTGATGTAATAAAAACATTTGAGAACCACTTGGTGAAGAATGGTGGTCTGCAGTAGTAGATGGCAGTGGTTAACAGTGGATGTGGTGGCGGCCTAAGCAAGGATTGTACATTGCCATAATAATGGTGGATAATGTGCCAATAGCACTGCAAATTGTAGACATGAAGACTTTGTTGCAATCCAAAAAAGGACTTACACGAAAATAAGCCAAAAGTCATTCCTTAAATGGCATAAAATAATTTCACAAAAGATTTTTCAGAAATTGCAAGACATGAAGACTTTATTGAAATCCAAAAAATAGTTGAGACAAAAAATAAAAAAATAAATAAAAATAAAAAATCACTGTCATCCCTCAAATGGCTTAAAATATTTTCACAAAATATTTTTTAGGATTGCAACAGAGATTACTCATAGCAGAATGCCGTACGCCAAACTGGAGGAAATGAAATATGATGGCAGCTCATAATTTTGATAAAATTAGGGCTACATCTATCACACACATGCACATATATATATGCATTCAATCAACGTACACATCCCAGATACAAGAGCACCCTTCATCATTTTATTCACAAACCACCGCCCACATTTATATCTGGCCTATGGTCAGACAAATTGATATCCAATCCAAGTAGATGTGCCTACAGCAACACCATCAACAATGATTTTTCTTTCTATATTATGTTTCTCTCTCTCCTTCCACTGCAAAATCAATATTTGTGCTTCTGTTTCTGAGTCAAGTGATCAATCCTAGATTTGGAAAAATGGAGAGGATAAACTTCTCAACAAATAGGAGTTGATGGAAATGTTGCCTAAAAATCTCACCTGGCACTTGTGGTCATCATAGGGAAAAATATTTGCATACACCTTAAGGAACTTGCATAGTTAATGTGTATTCAAGTCTGTAATTAATGTTTCAATTGATATATGAGTGATCATTTATATAATGTGTATGTTACATGCATTGCATTCAAGCAGTTGTCCTTAACCTCATCATGACCTGGACAAGTCACAAGTTAAGTTTTGGCATTGTCTGAGAAACAAATATAATCAAACCCAAGTTAGAGATCCTACTCAGATCCAGTTGGTGACTCCATGGATCAGGAAAAAAAAAATTAGAAGTAAGAAATAAAAAATTGCTCTCCTTTATTTAAAAGAGATTTCATATGGAGCATCAAGTTTCAAACACAAACACTTACT